AATAACTACGTCTGAAAGCAGAAGTCTAGGGCAAATAATTGAAAGTAAATATTCAACAATTACACCAGTTGTATTGTATATTATATTCTTTGCAAGCTCTTGCGGGCCACAAAAAATTAGGTCGCGGGCCGGATTTGGCCCCCGGGCCTTGAGTTTGACACCCCTGGTCTATGGCAATGGGTTTTTGAGTGAAAAAACAACCTAAATAGATCCTTTGTTAGCCCCGTATTCGGAACACTTTAAACCCTTTCTTAATGTCACTGTCTATGTATTTCATTCTGCCTTTGTAGGGCACTATGGCAGATCTTGGCAAAGATAAAATGTCTGAAAGTCGTCCAAATATCTAAAACGCATGATGAGGAGCTGGTTTAAGTTCCACTGAATAGGTATACTCGTGATCAAACCAAAAGGAATCGAGAGATTTGTAATTTTCTACAAACATGTGAAACATTTACAGCTACAGGTTTTATCCAAGGCACACGCAGACAGGGCCTTCAAGGTGAACATATTCAGATGCCAGTGTGTAAGTCACTACTGTACCAAAGCATGCACATTATCCATCAGTAAGTGGGCACAAGCTATTACATTCCTCACAGTGAGAATCATCTACAGCAACTGAGGATTAAACAATACAATCTCCCTCTGTGGTGTAGCAGTCTGTGTGTATCTGTATGAACCTCTGTGTGATTCATAGGAATCTGAAGGTGCATTTGTACAGTCAGAAGCAAGGGCAGTATGAAGGGGCTCATTTCAAATGCATCCTCTGGCAGCAGGCTTCTTTGTTTAAACCCACAGTGCCTCAAGGACTGCATGTGTGAAATGGCCCATTTGCTCTAGCTTGCTGGCTGTGTTCAATGCAGATGGAAAGTATGTACAGAGGTGCTGAGAGGCGTTCAACTTCAGCTCAATCATTTAATGGGACAACCTTAAATCCAGTTCATGTCTTAAAATTGTCTATAACATAATAAGTCTTGCTTTAAACACACAAACTGGATATAGGTGTGATCGCCAGGACTGATTGGATTGAAATGGAACGAGTCCTGCTGTACATCCATGTCTATGCAGATGGACCAACTCTTGCACTGTGAGCAGGGAGAAGGTGCTCAGACTCTGCATGATTTAAGCTCTGCAGCAGCAGGCGGACATTGTTATATAATGCAAAAGCCTGGGCCTCCCATGCTCAGCAGCCGACATGCTGAGTGGTATGCTTCAGCAAGCCATCTTCATCATCATGGGAGAGAGTGGGGGGGGGGCAGCAATCGGCTAGCATACGGTACTATACCTCAATCAGAACTGAGCTTGGAGAGAAGGGGAAAGAGAGACAGAGCTAGAGAGAGAAAGAGGGGGAGCTCAAAGCAAAAAGAAACAAAAGGAGAAGTGGGAAGAGCACAAGAGGGACCATAGCAAAGGCAGAGAGAAGTAGAGAAGGAGATAGATGGAAGGAGAAACACACAGGAGAGAACCCACAAGCGGCGACAGACTGTGTCTTTGCTGAGACGACGAGAAACAGGAAAGGCCGATTTGTCTGGAAGGGTCCAGGTGGCCAGAATAGAGAAACAAGTATGTGTGTGTGGAGAACTGTGTGTATGAGTGTGCATCTCATCGTGGACAGAAACAACATGAAACCGGTCCACAAGAGATATTTACAAAGGACACATAATCTGGGCTATGTGCTCAGAAATCAGTTTCTTTATCTGACAAAGCATGTGTGTTTGGTCTTAATATGTGTATAGACGCTGAGATGCGGGCTGAGGTGGGTTCTCTCACCACGGAGTTGTACTGCGCCTCACAGTAAGATCTTACTGTGAACTCCATGTCTTCATCCTCCTTCTCCTTCGCTGGCTTTTCAGGCTCCTCCTCCTCCTTCTCCTGCAGGTAGGCCTCCTGATCCTGGGGCATGTAGGACATCTCATCCTTGTTCTTGAACTCCAGACTCAGGATGGACGGTGGCAGAAGCAGCCCTAAGATAACCTGGGTGATGAGGGAGACAGGAAGTGGAGGTGGAAGAGGGGGGAAGTTAGGGAGAAGAGCGGGAAGCGATAAATCACACATGTGATAAAGGTGTACAGTTTCATGACACAGAGAGCCTTGAACAAAGCAATTTCCATTATCAGACGGGAAGACACATGAGAAACACACATAATAAATGTACCCTTGTGAACACCTTCCTTAATGCCCTGTCCTGCACACGGCTGAATGACAACACTTTGGTGTTTAACAGCCAAGTGGAGGTTTTAATAGTGGAAGTCAATTACAAAAGCATTAGTCCAGACAGGCAGCAAGGTTCTGCACACACACACACACACACACACACACACACACACACACACACACACACACACACACACACACACACACACACACACACACACACACACACACACACACACACACACACACACACACACACACACACACACACACACACTACACACACCATGTATACACCACTTCAGGGGACATTACATTGACTTACATGCATTTCCTGGAGACTTATCCTAACCTTAACCATAACCAACACATGCCTAACCCTAACCAAGCCTAACCAACACATGCCTAACCCTAACCCTAACCCTAACCAAGTCTTCACCCTAAAATTAATGAGTCC